TGTAGTCCAGAATACCTGTGGTCTCATCTTCATGGGGATTCACAGAAGCTTCAGCAAAACTGATACCCTGATGCACTAAATCCCACTCCCCTTAGAGTGCTAGTTTTATATGCGTGTCAAGGGCAATATGTAAAATCTCATTATAATGAAGCTCACACCTGAGCTTTACCTTACTGGGAAGAAAGTAGAAAATGCTGTCTAAAGCAGAGCCCCGCAGAGCACATTCCTTCTTTCAGTTTACTGAAATTGTGGCTGTGTTGCATATAGATGTCCAGAGAGTCGAGGCTCATATGCAATCTGTTGCACACAAACTCACTTCTTCATGAGAACAGTCTGCCCTGTCGCTTGCAGGGCCTCAAGGACCTCAAAGAAAGTGACAATATGGACTGTCGGTCAGTTTTGTTCACTTAAAATGTGATGTTATTCTGTCAAGAGTTCTCAAACACTTTTTGGAAATTCCTATTCATTCAAAGCTGTATTACAGAAAAAAACAATTAAAAACAAAATGTATAAAGAATGATGAAATAACAGAAAAGTCTAGGCTATCCAACCCTTCTTGCTTTTTTGACTAGAAAAACCCAATAACCTGCAAATAGCCCAGAATAAATCGGTTTCTGGGAAAATATGCTCAATGTGTTCCATATATTTTCTTTATAACTCTCTCCATAAATAATCTATTTCTGTCTAATACAAAATGCACAGACAGTAAGTTAGTTGATAGAGATGAGATTCCCCAAACAGAAACACAGAAAAGACTGTGTGCTACCAGGACTGGTTGAGCTTATGTTGGCCTCTGGGCAGTCCCATTTTTGACACATACAGTAACTGTGGTCTCTAGGACTTGCTGGGCGCTTCTTAATTGGAAGTGCTGAGTGATGCACTGCTCTTCCATTCACAGTTAACTCTGCTTTAAAACACTGTGCCAGATGTGCTTGGGAAATGTTGATGATGGTTACATTTCTCCTCTTCAGTACAGGGATTGCACTGGTAAGCCAAACCGATTAGCATTGGGTGGCTCTGTTCTGTAATGGTATTAAAACCTCTTAGCAGAACTCACAGATGTCTGCATCTTTGTAGGTTTAAAGATTTTTTCCTTACTGAAAGGAAAAGTAACGACACACAATGTTTCAACTGCGGAATCCTCTTCAGATTTGTGAAGCCTGAAAAAGGCTCCACAGCTGAAACAATGTGTCTCTTTTCATTTCCTTTCAGCATGGAATAAATCTTTACTAGTTAAATAATAAGTAGTTCTGCATCAAACTACAAAAAAATGATGTACTGTACAGTACTCAGACTGAATCAAAACACAACCTCACAGCTGATTCCAAAATAACAGAGGCCTTTGCAAAGTGAAAATGTCCTTCTTCCTATTGGTATGCACCATCTGCAATGTATTAACTCAAACATAAACATTAGCAGCTGTTCAAATTTAAAAGCATAATCTAGAGGCATTTGGCTACTGTTGTTAGTTGGTTTTAAGGTTTTAATATTGTTTGTGGAAGTATGCATCACGCAGCACCTTTACTTGCCTTGACTGTTCTGAATTTCTGAGTTGATACCAAACTTGCCACAATGATACTGTATACATTACTAGTCTAGGAGCACCACAGTCCACCAAATGCTGTAGTTCAGTGGTTCTCAAACTGTGGTACGCGCACCAGCAGTGGTAAGCAGAGAGCCGCCAGCTGGTACGCCATATGATCCATAGAACTTTGTTGTGTGCACTGAAAAATCAAAGTTTATTATTATAATATTTATTATATGTATGTGTGAGTGTGTGCATGCACACTCATGTTGGTCATTGAGAATTTCTGGGGTTCCTTTGAGATGATGACTTGTAGGTGGTACTTGGATGCTTTGTTTGGATTAGGGGTGGTACTTGGTCCAAAAAGTTTGAGAACCACTGCTGTAGATAATTTATAATCCTGAAAGAGTAAACTCCTGAAAGAAGAGGTAACGTAGACTGTCTAAATGGAGGACTGATCCACATAAAATTATTAAGGGTCCAGGGTGAAACAAAAAACAGAAGACATAGTAGGACTCAAGGACCAAGAGTGAATATAAGTGTGTTAACATTTAAAAAAATCATAAAAAATACCAACACCCCACTGCACTGCACATATTGTCTCTTGACTGCTGTGAGAGAAACTGGATGTCAGGTTGTGACCTGCCTCACTTATTAGCCCTAATGGAGCACAGTTGCCGTTTCCTCCTTTGATTTTTTTTGGTTTCTTTCTGGTTTTCAGACAACAACTCGTGAAAGTCCTGCTGGCCCCATAGTGGCTCTTGTAATCTATTTTTGCTCGCAATTCCAATTTGCTTTACAACATATCCACTAAACAAGATGATTTCTCCCTCCCGTCAGGTCAGCAGGGCAGCTGTGAGAGGCAGGTTCAGTGATAAGAGGAGGCAGTGTACCACTTGAAGATTGTTAGATCTTTCTCCCCAGAGATGTGTAATAAGGTTCCAATTTTCTTCTCTTTGTATCTCTTGAATATCTTTGATTTTACAAAGATGGTATCTCTCAATTAAAAGAGAACAAAACCTGCTTATTAGGAAAGGAGATTATACTTGTAGTAGTCTTTGTTTAATACCCCCAAAATACTGTATACATGTAAGAGGAGCAATATTTAATGAAAAGATTGTTATGAATTACAGTATCTCATCACAAAAGTTAACATTTTATGTCTGACAATCAGAATCAGAGCACAATTAAACATCAGAGATTTAGTTGAGCTGGTTTCTAATTTTAAGGGAGAAACAAGAAAAATGGCTCATGCATGTGACTTTTCCAACTTTAACATTACTATAAAAAATATTATACTTTTAATACTGTTTCCATAGAATGCCTTAAAAGTAAATCTCCAATTAAGAACTGAGGCTCATCCATCACTTAAATGAAGAACATCCCCCTGAACTGTAAAATAGTCAGAATGGTGCCTGTTTGCATTCAACCCATCATGCAGTAAATTATTCTTTTGAATGCTTTTAGAAATTGGCTACAGAGAAGTCTAAAAAGGACTTCCTGCTGTTCCGTAACTGTTCATTTTATTATTCAGAAAAGACTATGAGATGTTCAATAGGTCAAAGAAGCCCCTAACCAGGAAGCAGTATTAGCAGATATAACGTTTAATAAGTTAGCCTATTAGAAATACATTCTTTAACTAAATATCTAAGCCCACATAAATAAGAGGCTGGTACTGTACATATTAAGAGAACATGGGTGGTAGACAAACAGTTCTATTGTGGTTCTGTAGAAATTTGAATCCCAAATGGAAAATACAAATTCTATCAGTCAGCCACAACTTGCTGATCAGGTACTACTATCAATTAGTGATCAATAAGACAGACGTCATGTTAAGAGGAAGCCACGAAATTGCATTTTAGCATTTGATTTGTCTAAAGAAAAATGTTTAAAAGCATTGAAGACATATTTTTATCTGACACACAAGAAGATGTTCGTAAAATAAAACATGTTCTTGTAAGTCAGATGTCACGGATGTCGGAAGGGCAAGTAAAGACCCTATGCGTATCAGTAAAAGGGGCAACACAGAGGTTAGCCCAGGCTCAGGGGGGTCGAACGATGTCAGTATAGAAACCTATGCCCTCAGGCCACAGAAGAGGGGCGACCTGGTGCTAGGCGTGTCCCATGACATCCGTACCCTCAATGCTGAGCCAGGAGCAGAACAGACATGAAGTAAATAGGCTACACAACAGGACACACAGGAAAGACATGAATAATCACAGGGAGCTAGGAACAGAAGCAGAGCGCCCCCTAGGTGTACAGGGCATGACATCAGAAGATCCTTGTTTTTCTAACACATACAGTATTACAAGATTTTTATGATTTATAAAAGAAAAAAGCAAGTGCTAATTCATTTACAGTACAATAAGTAATAAACTAGCAGTAACTGTATTGCAGGTCACGCTCTTCCACGTTCAGACTCACTGCCAGCTTTTGTCATCACATATAGTAGTATAAGACTCAAAGAGTTTTCTTTTAATCACAAAGAGCAGTGTAATGATATCTCCAGTTCATTTTGTCCTGCGGAACAGCACACCCATAAAGCACTTTATAAATGCATTGCTTACTCCTTGTACAATCACCAGCACCTAAGCTCTATACTTAAAGAGCATCAATCATTTCTATTATGGAAACCACATAAACCACAAATGCTACTATACATTAATTTATTTTCTAATGTTTTTATAAGATTGTGAAACCACCCTTTTCTTTTCTTTGAAAATGAGCTGACATGTTTGTAAGCCCCACTGTTGATAGAACAAGTCACATTGCACAGTAATGGCAAACTTTGAGGCTAAATTCACACTTGCATTCATTTTAATAGTGTGTGTAGACATCACTGGTTACTTTGTCCCATGTTTAAACATTTCTTCTAATGATTAGTTAAATCATTTTCTTCAAGGAAACAATCTTAGATCACAAGCTACCTGATTCAGCTGTCTGATTGCTTTTCACAGTTAAAATATTTTCCTTAAATTGTTTTGATTGAATTGCATATCTAGAGCTGCCTTGGTTCTTGGTTATTACGTTTTTGCCAGTTAAAACTATCATCATATTTAAAACAATACATACAGATAACAAGTCTTTAGAAGGCCTCTAGGATTTCATTTTCCAATTGACAGAGGCCTGATCAGAAAGAGGATTCAAACTAAAAAAAAATGTGTACTTTCTTGAAGTGATCTAGTCTCTATAATAATGTACACACATAATAGTTAAGAAAAGCTAAAAAAGGCTTTATTCTACACAGTATGAGAGTTCTTGCAGATACTGTGCATGATACATAATCATTATCCTGAGAAAGGAGAAGAATTGAATGAGGAAAGCACTAATCATGGGAACAGCACATTGTCTTCTAACACAAATCTTACTATTCAAGAAATCACAAATTAGGACTGTGAAGAAAGCTTGCATGTCCATATACTGTACTGTTAAAGGTATAACAATGACCTTAAATGAGTTTGAAGCCCTACTGTACCTCAGTAATGAAGGCTTTGGCCGTGGCAGGGCTCATGAAGAGGATAGCTCTGCGCAGGGTGTCCCGATAGCGATGCAGCTCTTCAACACGCATTGTTCTGAACATGGCTGTGATCATCATGTTGATGTTGGTCTCCACTTTCTGCAAGGATACATCCATTCCCTGCTGGGACACCTTGTCCAAGAAGTCCTGGATGCCACGGATATCTGTAGATAACAGCCAAAAGCAGACAACATAAATCAATTTGTTTTTCACCAGCTGTGAAACTTGCTTCAAAGTTAAAATGTTCTACACTGTGAACATTGGTTCCTGGGCAACACAAAAGTGTTAGTCAATTCTTCTAAGCATTTCTGGCCATTTAGGAGCACAGAAAAGGATGGCAGAGATAAATGTACATCAGTAATAAGTGCACAAGATTAATACACTGTATTATATCAAAGTACTTCATTTCATACAGCATTTTAGTGTGTTTGACCCAACGCATTAGGCTTTGGAATGTGTGTTTGGATGCATACATATTTAAAAAGTGCAATAAATGTGTCAAATGACCATAGATTTGTTAGAGTAAGATTCTTTATGACTTAGGTACTATGAACCAAAGCAGCTTTTTAAAACCAGCGACGTTTTCAATGTAATTAAGAGATTTTAAAAAAAAAAGTGGCAGGAATATTTCCTCTGTGAATTGAGCTCATACAAGCCAGAGTCTCTCTCTTTTTTCATAATGTTAACAAAGCTCAGAGTAGATGTTAGCAAATATATACAGTAATATATACTGTATAGGTTTTCTGTTGTATTTTTTGTCTCAGAGGAAATACTAGATCAAGAGATAGACACAAAATATTGAACCACTTTGATGGCTACATTTTTGGAATTTTACTTCCAAAATTTTACTTAAACAACATTCCCATTTCTCACTCAAATATAGATATACAGTCCTCTGACTAAATGCCTTTACTTCTGAGGATGTATTTGGTAAACAAATTATTTTCTTGTTGACGAAATGGATAAAGAGCTTTCATCTAGAAATGTAATGACTCAATCCCTTCTCTTCTTTCCTGGATGCGCTGTTTCTGCAGGCATCTTAGCACTATATTTCAGAAAAATGTCTTGCACAATATCAGAAAAAAACTTTCCTGCTTACCTGAATAATAATTTCAGCAGATCTTGTTTGTGAACTTACAGTAAGTGTTCAGTTTTAAAAGGTGACTGGATATCAGATCTCTTTATTAGCCCTATACAATTTCTTGCATTGGGAATTCATCTTTTCGCATACCTCAACTTGCTCTCCATGAGACACACAGGCATACAGACAGGGAGAGAAGCTTGGGGTCAGAGTGCTGGGTCAGCCATTGTACAGTGCCCCTGGAGCCAAACAGAGTAGGATTCTTCTGCCAGCTGTGGGATTTGAACCGGCAACCTTCCAGCCACAGGCACAGAGCCACCACACCACCCCTGATTATTAGACATTCAGTCTTATATATACTGTAGGTGGGTATATACAGTACTTACAATTAACAATGCCAGAATATAACAGTGGCCTTTGTAAGCACAGAAAAAAATGACCAATGATTTCATCAAACTGTGTGACTGCACATACAGTATCCACACAATGTGAAAGAAGGTATGACAAATCCTGTAACTAATCCCATATTTGAACCAGGTCAAGTGTCAGAATCTCCTTCTGTCCTTTTACTTAAACATAAGCCATTCTGACACTGCATCAATGTGCTAAAATTCCAGTGGGACACCTTTCAGCAACACAACTTGCAATGTCATTAAAAGAAAAGCAAGGAAAGACTCTTTTCTGTGTCTTTTCTCTGCCAGACAGAGAAAGCCTCTGCTCTTTTCAGAATGAAGGTTACGATGCTACAACTTATTATAGGACCAGTAAATTGGACACCAGTGAAGTATAGTAAATGTCTTGTTAATGCTTTATGGTCTTTATAACTCTATAAAGTCCAGGCATTAACATTCTTGTTATTCTGGATCCTTGCAGTATGTATAATATTAGATGACTTCCATGCCATAAAATAAAGTTAATACAGAAGAAGAAACAATGTCTTGGCTGTGAAGCCTTGTTCAGGTATGGAGAAGAAAGGAACAGAGCAGAAATACAATATGAGGCAGATAGTGGGCTGTGTGTGTAAGAATCTAAGAATTCTCACACTGTTTGCAAACTCCTCTCTCCCAAGCCAGTTTTGCCTTGAAGTGTAGGCAAAAAAAAAAAAATTACAGTTTCACAGTCAATTAACAATGTTCTTTGGTGCTAATTGAGGTGACCTTGTATAAGATAACTGATGATGCCTACCTGAAATTATACAGCTCAAAACTGAAGGCACTATAAAAAAATGATTATACCAAGTGGCAATTGTTCAATAGCTGGATACATTTCTCATGAAAACTTGGTGTTGTAGAAAAAATACAAAAAAGCAGATTGCAAAAAATACGATATTATATAGCACATCTCTCTCCTAAGGTCAGAAGACTCTTATGGGTCATCAGAGACAGAGACGTAGACAGAGACAGAAGTCAGCAAATGTAGCTTAGCCAAAAAACATCAAGATTTGTGATTTTCTTTCCTCATTGGGCAATTTACTTTGTGTTCATCTTCATACACGTACAGAAGCTCAAATAGAAAATTATTTTAATTATTCTTGATTCCTTAAGGCTTCATAAGAGGGAATGAAGAAATACATTTTATATAATGGATTAACTAAGAACACCATAACATTAGAGAAGAAAATACATAAACACCTGGACATTACCCAGACCAGATAGAAGCATGAAAAATTAATTTCACTGCTGACAAGTGCAAAGCACTAACTGCTGATATTAGAGATTTATTCCATTGCTGTCAAATAGGATGTGCTCAACTTGATGAGAAAGTTAACGCCAGCAGTTTGCTTAGTGTAGAAACGTAAACCCAGGGACGTACACTGTATTGCTATAATGCTATAACACAGAATCTTAAGTATCTGTTTTGGATTTTAATGCAAAAATCATGCTGTAAAGAACATAAAGAAGCTTAGAATTGTTTTTTTTTCTTTTTGCAAGGATGCCTTACATAGCCAGGTTAAAGAAGCTAAAAATCTGTAGTGTCAAACAGATGTGCATTTTAGATGGTTTGGATTTGAATACTGTATGTGAAGTCCTTAGGGAGGCTGACAAAATAACCCTAAGTCCCTCCTTAAAACACAAGAATACAATGTGCACACAAGAACACAAGTAAAAAACGAGAGGAGATGCTTTTAGGCTTTAAAATAGAAAGCACTTATTTATACTGTACACAAGCAACAAACCTGTTTTGGGTGTGAGGTGAACTAACACACTGGCCTTAGTGTTCGCCTGGTTGATTTGATGGAGGCACAAAGAGCCTCGCTGCCCTCCCCTGTCCAGGACTTGCTACCAAATCAAAGGCAAATCAAAGGATGCAGAATGTGGCAACAATGTTTTTCCAATGCAGTTCAGAGAATTCTCTCATAGAGCTCAACATTCAGAAATTAAGGGCTTTCATTCAGCTCCCAACACCAAAACAAGCCTTTGCTTAAAAGACAGACCTAACTGCTCTGTGAGATCTATGAGATGCCAATCTGAGCACCCTGCATACACACAAAGCTGAAGAGTTGCACTCCTTGAAAAGCAGTACAAATGTATGCTTTTCTCTTATTAGTCTTCATTATGTTGTGTACAGTATATGTAGTATACAGTATCTTCGTAGACAAGACACACCAGTTTTTAAATGAAGACAGACATGTTTGCTAATGAGCTGCAATTTTCATTGATGAGTGGAATCCATAACTATGGCTATGGACGTTCAGATACAGCAACTGATATGGATTATATTATGAGTTACTGTATACTTATGCACATTTTCGTATGCCATTTCCAGAAGGCAGTTAAATACAAGAGAAAAAAGGGGGGAGGGGGAGGGCTGGGATTCAGCTCAAAGGTGGGAGAGGGCAAAAGCTTTAATAGGAGTGCTGGCTTGGCAGAATTCCATGGCTTTATCGATCAATGATGAGACAAATCCACTCTGCCACTGCTGTTCCTTCCACAACAGCCAGCTGGTCCTCCGAGCCCACAGAAAGGAGAGCTGTTGGAAAGGGATGGCGTGCTCTGTTATAGCCTTGTTGAGAAATAGCTAAAGCTACAATAACACTAAAATAAAAAGTCATGGAAACTGCTTCAGATCTGCCCAGGAGGTAATGAAAAAAGGAACAAGTAACCAATGAACTGGAAAGGTTTGGCACAAGCTGTTAAAGCAGCACCACAGAGCAGAGCAGTACCACGAAGAGCAGCAGTCACAGATTCGGCTGACAAGTGTCAGACAGGATATAATTAGACTTCAGCAGACATTACCCTAAAGATCAGTATTGCACATACTGTAGAAAAGCCATGGGATGTGCAGCATTGTAAACACACTGTAACCATTGTGTTCCAAGTTCTAATGGATATTCACTTGTTTAATTGAAGTTTTAAACTACATGAAGACATATAGAACAAGAGCACACCAATCCAGGGTCTAATAATTTCAGTTGTAAGAAAAAGGGGTTCATTTCCTTATTATTTTGATTTTTTTTCACTTAATTTATCATTTCAAATAACTTGAGTATAATTGGAAATACAGTATTTTATGCAGTAGTATTAAAACTAATTTTTTTTGTTGAACTGCCCAACAATATTAAAAGATCAGCAAGACACAAAATGTTCGTCTATGTTTAGTGAAACTAATTAGTATGATGTTTTAGCAAATTGTCAATAATTAATCTAAAAAATATTATTTTATATTAAAAATATATAGTAATTGTGTTATATAGCAATGCCCACTCATGGGAACTGAGTACAGTACATACAGTATATTAGGCTACACAAAGTTCACTTTTCCTGCAGGTATTTAATTCTTTCAGTTTTGGTAGAATCTTAAATTATCATGAAGTGGTCTCAACATAACAGGGTTGTCTTAAAATAAGGTAAATGTATGTTACCAAAGGTTATAAATGTACTCTTTAATTAAATGTAAATTAATTATGAACATACAGTTTGTATGTTTACTGCAACAGAGAGTGGGGAGATACTGAATCTAAAAATGAGAGGGTAGTACTATAGTACTATACTATACTATAGTACTGTACTATAGTCTCGCTGTCTTTCGTTTTGACAGCCTCTTGAAATATATGAAATGCCTTGTGAGCTTTGTTCTGTTTCC